TGCCGTGCGAGTGTTATTGGGTTGCACGAGGTTTCTGCCGTGCTATTTTTACTATTGATATTTGCACATGCGGTGTGACAAGGCGGGATATATATATATATATATATATATATATATATGTGGGTTGCGCATGTTGTGAGACAAGGTGAAAACATTATTATGCACGTGTGGCGAGATAAGGCGGGCATTTACTTTATTATTGCACACGTGGCGAGACAAGGTGGGCTGTGTCAGGGATTGATTTGTGATGACTTGTGATAGCCTGGGGGCATTCTTGTTGTTGATATTTGTGTAGTGGTGCACTTACCTGTGTGAGTTCTATCTTGTGGAACATTATGGGAAAACATTCTACGTGTTGTCCATTTCTTTTTCTATACTTACTAGCTGGCTTGAACTATGTTAGGACACTTACACGAGCATATACGTAGTTAAGCACTCTTATCGGTTAAGAGGTTTTCTTGATATTGTTGAGTATAGATGCACACCCTTGTTTATTTGCCTTTTATGTGAGAATGGCTCTATTTGGCACGTGAGTCGTCAGTGCGGTTATAAATTGTAATGAGAGAAAAGGATGCTAAGTGTTAGGGTTCGGGAATTGAGACCCGTGAGTTGTGAATATTTTGAGGTTCGGTACATCGTGGAGGTTATTGCCTAAAACCCGGTGTGAAAGCGGTCATTTTATTGAGTTGTTATTTGCCTTTCATTTATTTGTGATCACCGGATTGAGATCGTGTTTCCGTACAACTACTGTGTCATTATTATGGTATACCGCTGATAGTTGTTGTTTTCCTTTCTTACGGAAATTACCGTATTATTTTCCATTTCGCTTAGTCCTTATGTAGATATCATACTCTGTTGTTTCTATACTTATACTTGTTCAGGTTATTTAGTCCAGTAGGTGTCTTGACTGTACCTCGTCACTACTCCATTGAGGTTAGTCTTGATACTTGTCGGGTACCGCCGTGGTGTACTCATACTGCACTTCTGTATATTTTTGTGCAGATCCAGGTATTTTCGAAGTCAGTTGATCACTAGCTAGTTGTGCGAATTGTTGTTGTGGAGATTCAAAGTAAACCTGTTGCTGCGTTCGCAGGCTTCGGAGTCACCTTCTGATTTGTATTCACATTGTTTACTTTATTTCAAACAGTTTTATTTAGAAAATTATAACAAACTCTGTAGAACTTATGACTTGTACTACCGATTTTGGGAATTTTAAATTTTATAGAGATTTCCATTTCAAAAATTGTTAGATGTTTTTTAATTATTGTTGTTATTTAGTAAATATTAGGTTTACCTAGTCCCTAAGATTAGGTGTCATCACGATACCCAACAGAGGGAAAATTGGGTCGTGACAGTTCTCACCCATACTTCCCTATTCTGATGCTTTGAGCATATTATAAAGATGTTGAGTTGTTAGATTTGGGTCCTTTTCTAAGTTCCGATCCTAAGATGGCCCAGCAACATTAAAAAAAAACATAGATTGAATTGAATTATGAGATTGGGGATTCTGAGTTTCTTGTTGTACAGTTTCACCAATTATTTCTTCTTGATTAACATTACATACTCCTGGATATGGAATATAACTTTCACCATGGTGATACCAACGATAATAATTCGGTACAAAACCGTGTCTCCCAAGATGTACCATAATAGTAATTTCATCTAAGATATTTCTATTCCGACATTTATGATGATTACAAGGACATCTTAGCTTCTCAACATCCATGCATTGTGGATGACTTTTAGCAAATGCAACAAACTCCTCAACCCCGGCAATAAACCTAGTATTAATGAATCTATTTTCCAATCTAGCATACATCCACACTCACGATTAGAATTCATATTCTATACTCTGACAAGACAATAATAAAACATTTGTTATAACTTACATGATGATAATTAAACCATAAAAGCTTACATAAGACTGTAGACTCGAGCATAAAACTTATAAAATAAATTTAGATAAATATTTACACGTACAAGCAAAGAGAGTTAAGATCGATGTTGCAATCAAGGACAATAATTTTTATTTGCTTTGCTATGTGAAGTACTACTAACAGTATAAAGTTTTAAGAAACTACTAAAGCTTCTTCAGTTACCCACAATTAAAGCCCTTATCTTTATGCTTTTGTAGATATTTGAATACTTGCAATAGAGTTCCTTCTTTGTATATATACACCAAAAATTACAAATAAAAATATGCCATATCTTAAAACCCAAGCTTAAAATAAAATAAAATAAATTATCTTAGATAGGGTACTTATCAGTAAAGACTTAATTTATTCTTCTAATTTATTAGTTGAGAAACTAACACATATAGGTTTTTCACTTCATAATTTCTCTATTCAGACACTTTTGATGAATACCAACTAAGATTTTTCTATAAATTTCAAATATTTAGAGTTGGGATAGAATAAAATCAAATAAAATAAATAAATAAATAAATAAATGCATGGTATGCAATAGATTTTTAGTTTACCTTAATTTTTGAGCTTTAATTGAAGGATCCAATAGAAAGGACAGAGAAAAATAAAGAAGGGATGATGCTATTCACTTCAACAAACTACTTTTTCGAGCAAAGTCTAACTGGTAATGGAGCAAACCAAAGCTGAAACATATTGAAATAAAAAATTAGCCCAAAAATTTCTAGATTTATGAACAAAGAGAATGATAAAGAAGCAAACCTGAAAAGATTGAGAGAGTCGAATAGCTTATAGTGAAGCTTGTTGAGGATGGTGATGGACCAAGTATTAAAGAACCGGAAAAGGTCCAATAATATCCCTAAACTATGGTATATAGCTCACTTTTGTCCTCCGTTAGTAAACTGGGCCAGAAATATCCTCTCCATTAGTAAAATGGGCCACTAATGCTTTCAACCTAACGGCCCTCAGCCTTCATATCAGCATTTTATAGCTTATATGGCATCCACATAAGCTATTCTCTCTTCTTATTTTCCCTCTTCTTATACCGATATTCACCCATTCCCAAAACCCTTATTGTCATTATTCCCAAATTTTAAAAATTTCCATTTTTCCTTCAAAATTTTTGCTCAAATTTCTGCTCAATGTCTGATTTATCTGTGAATGCGCATGAAATTCAATATGCAAGAAGGTGTCATTGTGGATTGATTGCGCTATATTTGACAGCTTGGTCAGACGCCAATGCTGGGAGAAGGTTCTACAAATGTCCAAGATCCAAGGTTAGTTTTGAATTTATTTTGATTTTGGTCGATTTATGTGATTCATCTTCTTTTGTCGAGTTAGGTCGTTCTTGATTTTTATTGTTTATGTACAAAAATTGTTGCCAAAACTGCTGTAAATTCTGATATGATGTAGGTTAGTTCTTGCGGGTATTTTGAATGGATTGACGAAGAGCTCCCTCGTCAAGCGGTGATGGTGATCAAAGATTTAAAAACTAAACTTGATGCTGCTAAGGTTGAGAGGAACAATTTGAGGAATAAAGTTTACCTCATGGAACAAGCTACAATGGTTCAAAGGGGCTCTAAGGACTTGTTTGATGAAATGGAAGATGTTATAACGGTTGAAAGGCATACTTTGAAGATGAAACTTGACGAAATGGAGCAATTTCAAGTTGTGGAAGCTGAAAAGGCTAGTAATTTAGAGGTCAAAGTGAAGAAGATGAGAAATATCATTTTGGTTTCATGGGCTTTATTATTTGCTTTGGTTGTCGTAAGGATGATGAAGTGAATGTATGTTGTTTAAATATGTTGGTGTAGTATTTTGGTTTAGTTATAGGGATGATGAAGCTAATGTATGTTGGTTTAGTATGTTGTAGTATGTTGGTTTAGTATGTTGTAGTATTTTGGTTAAATCATTCCTCGTGTTTCATAATGAAGATTATGCTGTTTTAAAACAACAGCACTGCTATGCAACGACCACTGTTGTGCAAACAAAGTTCTTTTCTGTTAGTCATTAGTCGATTTATTTACCTGCAGGCTATCCATTTAGAAAGGCACAAGGTGTGTGTTGCATTAAATCCCAGCAAATGCATGTGCAGTATTATATTTTATGAGTATACTTAAATAAGGGAATCAATTCCAGTGGATATCTATTTTGTCTCATTATAAATACATAAATATCTCAATAAAGTGAACTGATTGATTAACTTGTCCAGCAAAAACTTGTATAATATATGTTTTATCCGATTAGTTTGTGCTTAATTAAGTAGGTCAAAGCATTCACAATCTGTTTTCACATACTAAAATGGAGAGTATTCACAATCTGCTGTGCAAAATATCACCAAACACCACTAATGTCTAAATATGTATACTGCTGCTACAATACAGCTACTATCAAAATAGCATTGTTGTACAAACTAAACCAAACAAGACCGCTGCAACAATACAACTACTATCAAAACAGCACCGATGTGCAAACTAAACCAAACAAGACCGCTGCAACAATACAACTACTATCAAAACAGCACCGATGTGCAAACTAAACCAAACAGGACCGCTGCAACAATACAACTACTATCAAAACAGCAATGCTGTGCAAAATATTACCAAACACCTAAATATCAAAACAATTGCACTGCTGTGCAAAATATCACCAAACAACTGCTACAAAACATGTTTACTGCTGCTACAGAACAACTACTAAACCAAATATCACTGCTGTAATATTAGTTTTACAGTACAAACCAAAACATCAAAACAAAAGGGTTCTGTGAGTTCCCAGATTTGCAACTACATACAATAACCAAGATTCCTAGATGTGTGAGTTCTCATTGAGTTTCCTGCACTTTAACTTCCCAACTTTCTTTTGTCTTGCCACTTCCAATTGATTTCCAGTCGTAGCTTCTTTGCCTTTCCAAGTGAGCTTAGTAGGTAAGTAAGGAAGATCCGTGGGATAACTGACACCAGTATGATCTCCTCTGAAAGAGATGACTCTTGTCCCTGTTGAGGTCAATTGTTGCTGCCTCATCAGTAGTCGTGTTTGATCTTCAAAAATAATTTTAGGCATTAAAACATGGTCACTTTAATGCTCACTACCATCACCAAAGGGTTCTGTTTGGTGTCTTGGTACTCTTGGTGTAGGCATGAACACAAATTCACTTTCATCTTCACCTTCTTGTGTTGGTTGAGGGGCTGAACAACTAACATCCTCAATATTTCCTTCAGCACCAACCTATTAAATAGAAAAACTTTCTATTAAATAACTGCAATTATATAAGAAGAAAGATAAGTTAAGAAGCAAGTACCTTGCATGTCCTTGAATTGTGATCCAGTTCACCACAAATGTTGCATGTCATTTTAGTTCCCCTTCTTGATGCAGCCCAATCTCCTTGTCTCTTGTTCGCCTCATCCTTCTCCCTATTTCTTTTGACTTTTGGCCTTCCAACAGTTTTGGCAAGTGGAGGAGGATCCATAGCATGTTCTGGTAATACTTTCCAGAACTTTTCACCTCTAACAAGCATCAACTTGGCCATATATGTCATCGGGTAAGCTTTATTGCTGTGCCACCAACTAATTTCAGTCATTAGATCCTCTCTCTTGTATTTTAGTGCCCTTATGGCATGAGGGCATGGGATGCCAGTCAACTGCCAGGATCTACAAGTATATTTTTTCTCCACTAGGTTTACTCTATGTCTATCATCACCCTCAGAAACCTCATAGCCAGTTTCACCATTAAAATGAACAGTACACAAGTTGGCTACCTTCAAATAAGCAGCATACAACTTCATGCAGTTAGGACTAAACTCACCTCCCCATGTTCTAGCTTCTTCTTCCTTCTCTCTCAACCTGTTCATGACCTTGATTCTAATATCCTCAAGCATCTTTAAGATAGGCTTGCCTCTTGCTTCTAAGATCCAAGAGTTGAAGGACTCTGTAAAATTATTGTCCACCATCTGATTTTTACACAATGTATCAAAGTAAGACCTACACCAATTCTGTAGTGGATACCTAAGCAACTCTTTGGCAGCATCAACAGACAATTCACTAAGATTCTTTAGTTGATCTTTAAAGTCCTCCTCATAAGTGCTCCAAGCAGACCACCATAGGTATTGTTTCATCTCTACTAAAATTTTGATCCTCTTACTCCAGTTGGCTTCAATATGCCTCAAACAAAACCTATGATTTGAGAGAGGGAGGATAGTTCTCACTGCTTTCAACAGACCTTGCACATGTAAATTTAAACAGAATTAACAATATAATAACTTAAAAATAACTGGAATAGTCAGTTAAGCAAAAGCATAAGTTGTACCTTTTGTATATCAGACATAAAGGTAATACTAGTTCCACCTTTCGGATTCAATGAGTGTTTTAGCAGCTCCAGAAACCATATCCATGTCAAGGTATTTTTCTTGTCAACTACAGTATAGGCCAAGGGATAGAAATGATTCTGACAATCTTGTGCAACAGCCACCAATAATTGCCCCTTGCAATGACCCTTTAAGAAAATCCCATCTAGTCCAATGAATGGTCTCAACCCTTGTCTGAACCCCAACTTCATTGCATTGAAGCATATGTACATTCTAAGAAATCTTCTTTTACCTTCAGCCATAACATCTTTTGATAAATTGATAACCACATCACTACAAGGATTGTTCTCCCTAATCTCATTTGCATATGCTTCTAATCTGTTATAGTCATCTAAAAAGCTTCCTTGCAATTGCTGAAGTGTCATTCTCTTAGCCCTTTTCAATGTGGAGTTATGTACATTCAATGAAAATTAATTTTTCAAATCTAGTTTCATATCTTTTATCTTGTACTTGGAGTTATTCTGCACCTTAGCTCTAGGATTCTCAAATGCATCTTCACAGTTGTGCCTTATTTTGAATATTTTTATCTTAAAGCCAGAACCCTTCTTATCTTCAGAGATGAGACATACAAAAGGGTAGCCTACTACACATATATACCTTACACATATTTTATCATTTTTTCTAAGCTTCAAAGGTTTGGAATTTGCAATAGCATAGAAGTTCATGATTTTTTTGGCCTCTTCCAAGTCCTTAAATGTCATAGACTTATCAAAGTCTTTGTAGTGACTAAGCTTATCATTAACTTCTTTACCCTTTTGCATCCTAAGTAACTCTAATTCTTCAAAATCATATTCACTAGCATCCGAACCATAATCTGAACTTTTATCACTATCATATTCACATTCAGTACCTAATTCACACTGATATTGACTTGAAATTGGCTCTTCGTAGTCCCCCATATTGAAATATCTATAATATAGACACAGAAGAAAATATAGAGGGACCACCTGAATAATTTAACAACTTTGACAATAAAATATTGAACATACAATAAATTATTACATATAAAATAGTGGAAAGAATAACGCACACACTTTAAGAGATAAAACACATGTTTTGTCGGTTTCAAACCACAGTGAAAAGCAAAAAAATACTGAATTTAAGAAGAAATGCACATGGTTTTGTCGATTTCAACAACCCAACCCTACAACACTATGATAAAATATGTGAAAATGACACTTGCAGCCAAAGACGATGTACACCTAGGGCACAAATTGACACCACATAAGGAAATAACAAAGATAACAAACAAAAAGAGTACCAGACCCACATGCAAACACTATACACTAGAAGACAGGATCAGAAATACTAGAACATGACAAAACCCTAGATAATTACAAAAAATAATTGAATAATCCCTTTGTTCGAGACATAGACCCAATAAATAGAAGGAAAATTACCTGAATATCTTTAGATAATCTTCAGTTTGTGTTGTTAAACCTTGCTCGATCGTATCATCTCCTCAACTCTCAAATCGCCATGGAAGAACGGACATGGAAGAACCTGTGATTTTTGTTTGAAAATGGGGTTTGGACCTTGTGGTTACTGACTTCGCGTTTTTAGGTCCGCTTATTTGGTTATCGGAGCGGGTTTATGCGGCTCCGCTTATCTGGATGCCATGTAAGCTTATGTGGATGCCATGTAAGCTATAAAATGCTGATATGAAGGCTTGTGTGGAGGGTCGTTATGTTGAAGGCATTAGTGGCCCATTTTGCTAACGGGAGGGATATTTCTGGCCCAGTTTACTAACGAAGGACAAAAGTGAGCTATATACCATAGTTTAGGGATATTATTGGACCTTTTCCGTTAAAGAACCGATGGTTGAAGGTGAAGGGGAAAAGAGACCTCTATGAGAATTTGGGGAAAAACAAAGTAAGGGTTTTGGACTAATATATGATGTAAGGGGGGAAATACGGGTGGGAAAATCAAAAAATAGTCCAAAATTTTCTAAAACTAATGTCAGACACATGGGTCAAAACTATTACCTATTTTTAAGCTTTTTTTTAATTTTGTGATGGAGTTAGATGTATGTCACAAATTTGTGACGCATTCGGCCGTCACAAAAATATAATTTCTATTAGCTATATATTTTTAATAATATTGTGATAGAATTTCGTTAGACTATTTTACCGCCATAATTTCATGACAATTTATTTTTGTCATCTCTAAGTTTCGTCACGAATAGAATTTTTGTAAAATATTATATTTTTTCAGCAAATGTTAGGCTATGTAAGGATGATCCATCACAAATCCGATAAAATTCCGTCACAATTTTGTGAACAACTTGTCTCTCACAAAATTTCCTTCACAATTTTGACTATTTTTTGTAGTGGACTAGCTCCTCGGTTTTATCTTCAATGACCTTTACCTTTTCAACCAGGTCGGTATGTTCCCGTTTTAAGATCGACAATTCATCAAAATAATATTAAGTGTTACACATAGTAACACCATGGAACTTCTTTGTCAATATTAACACAACCTAAAGTAAGAAATTTTTATGTATTGTCAATTTCAAGTTTAGGAAATGTGAAGTAAAAAATACCTCCTCATTATAAAGATGCTCAAGTAAAAATACAAATATTAGTAAAACCTTTGGGGTGTTATAACTCTCTCCCCCTTAAATAAATTTCGTCCCTAAATTTACCTTGTACTAGTCCCTAAACAAAATGTGGATATCGAACTTGCATATCCTCTTCTTGCTCCCAGGTAGCTTCTTCGCCAGAATGATTTTTCCAAAGAACTTTCACTAAGGGGATGCTCTTATTTCTAAGCTCCTTTAACTCACGCGCTAAGATTTGGATTGGTTCTTCTCCATATGTCAAATCAGGATTGACCTCAATAGATTCAATAGGAAGAACATGAGATGGATCTGAGCAGTATCTTCTAAGCACAGAAACGTGAAAGACATTGTGGAACTTGTCTAACTCGAGTGGAAGAGCTCGTTTATAAGCAACTGGGTCAACTCTCTCAAGCACTTCATAAGGTCCAATAAATTGTGGACTAAGTTTACATTTTTGACCAAATCTTATAATCTTCTTCCATGGAGAAACCTTTAAAAATACCTTATCACCCATTTTATACTCAATTTCACGCCTCTTAAGATCAGCATAAGACTTTTGTCTGTCTGGGGCAATTTTTAAGCGAACCTTGATGATTTTTACCTTATCTTCAGTTTGTTGAACAATCTCAGAACTCACCAATTTTCTTTCACCAACCTCGTTCCAACAAAGAGGCGTTCTGCATTTTCTCCCATACAAAGCTTCATAAGGAGGCATTCCTATACTTGATTGGTAGCTATTATTGTAAGCAAATTCTATTCGGGCTAAGCGTTTATCCCAACTACCCTCAAACTCAATAATGCAGGCTCGAAGCATATCCTCCAAAATTTGTATTACCCTCTCAGACTGGCCGTCTGTTTGTGGATGGAAAGCAGTACTAAAATTCAACCTGGAACTCAAAGCTTCTTGCGAGCTAGACCAAAATCTGGATGTAAACCTTGGATCTCTATCAGATACAATAGAAACAGGGATTCCATGCAGCCTCACAATCTCATTAATGTATAATTCTTCCAAATGTTCTAGTGAGTAGTCCATTCTGATTGCCAAGAAATGAGCACTCTTAGTTAGTCTATCTACAATGACCCAAATTGTATCATGATTCCTTTGAATGTGTGGAAGTCCAGAAACAAAGTCCATCGTTATCCTTTCCCATTTCCACTCAGGTATTGACAAGGGTTGCAGTAGACTAGCTGGGACTTGATTTTCAGCTTTTATTTATTGACATACCAAGCATTTAGAAATGAACTTTGCAATGTCTTTCTTCATACCACTCCACCAGTAGTGCTCCTTAATGGTCTGGTACATTTTAGTACCTCCAGGATGCATTGTATAAGGTAAACTATGTACTTCAATCAAGATATGCTTCCTCAATTCATCATTATTAGGAACACATAACCTATTTTTATAAAATAAGCTACCATATTTCATCAATGTAAAATCTGATTCTCTTCCATTTTGGACGTCTTCAACCCATTTTACAAGCTTCTTATCTAACTTTTGCGCTTCTTGGACTTGCTCAAGTAACACCGGCTTGACTTACAAATTAGCAATGATAGAACCATTAGAATTAAATGAAAGACAAGCATCCATGGCTCTTAATTCAAGAAGCAAAGGCAAAGGACTTAGAGTTAAACTTGCAAGGGAATTACGACTCAACGCATCTGCAACCACATTGGCTTTACCAGGATGATAATCAATCGTGCAATCATAATCTTTGATGAGTTCAAGTTATCTACGTTGTATCAAGTTTAACTCTTTTTGTGTACCTAAGTACTTCAAACTCATGTGATCAGTAAATATGTGACACTTCTCCCCGTACAAGTAATGCCTCCAAATTGTTAAGGAAAAAATAATGGCAGCAAGTTCAAGATCGTGAGTGGGATAATTCAACTCATGCGATTTCAACTTTCGAGAGGCATAAGCAATTACTTTCCGTTCTTGCATCAAAACACAACCCAAGCCACGGTGAGATGCATCACTGTATATCACATAATCTTTCCCTTCAGCAGGCAAAGAAAGTATTGGAGCTTGTGTCAACAAGGATTTGAGCTTTTCAAAGCTCTCTTGACACTTGTCATCCCACACAAACTTAGCGTCTTTACTCAAAAGTTTGGTCAAAGGAGAAATTATAATAGAGAAGCCCTTCACGAACCTTCTATAGTATCCTGCTAAACCCAAGAAACTTCTTATCTCAGTTGGAGTTTTAGGGGTTTTCCAATCAACAATAGCTTGAATCTTACTAGGATCAACCTTCACACCTTCAGCTGATACAATATGCCCTAAAACAATCACTTCACTCAGCCAAAATTCACATTTGAAAAGCTTTGCATAGAGTTGCCTCCCTTTCAGAATTTTCATGACAATCCGAAGATGCTTATCATGATCTTCTCTTGTCACAGCCCGAAATTTCCCACCGACGGGACCGTGATGGTGCCTAATATTTCACTTGCTAGGCAAGCCAACGTTAAAAAATCGTTAAACCAATTCCTTATTTCCATTCAGTAAATAACAATAATTAGCTAAGATAAAATATAAGAGATGCAAAATTTTATAAAACTGTACTAATTACTACCACCCGGATCTAGAGTCACAATTCACGAGCATTCTAGAATTTACTACAAGTAATAGTCTGGAAGAAATACAACTGTCTGAATGAAAGAAAACAATAGTGACGTAAAAAGTAGACGGGGACTTCAAGGTTTGTGAACGCCGACAGATCTACCTTGAGTCTCCGGACAGCAGACCAATAGCAAAATCTCGATCAACCTGAGTCGGTATCAAAGTCTGCACAGAAAGTGCAGAGTGCA